TAGCCGCAAAAGATGTTTTATTTATTTAAGCCCTTAACCCCCCCTCCCCCCAAACCATGCCTACATATTTTTTTTTCTTTATACATTTAAGCACAATGAAATGATTAAAATGATCAGGTTTTTATTTATTTATTTATTTATGCACATTCTAACTTCCATATTAAAATAGCTTAGAATAATAGAGTAACTTGGTGCAACAGAATCAAGAATCAATCAAAAATGAAATTATTTTTAAACGACAATAGCTGCATGCAATGCATTGTTTTAAAGGGATAAATGGAAAAATTTTATCAGAATTTCTTGCATTGTCATGTTCATCTGCAGCTGAGCTCATGTTTAAAACAGGATCCGGGGCCATCAACATAAATATCTCTCCTAGATTCACTTGAAATCTCTCTCTCTCTTTCTCTCTCTCTCTGTCTGTCTCTGACATGGGACCTCTGTTAAGAGGAGATGAAATTAAGTGGAATAAAAATCCTATTAAAAATTATTATTGCCTAACAGCCATTAGTCTAGAGGTTGCTGTCACAAGTTGATGGATTTCTCACTTAGTTCTCACAATGTTCTAATGACATTGATAAAATCATTGCAAACCAAATACTGTTAACCCACTCATGGAGGGCTGTGAATTGTGTCAACACCAGAAAACAGGAAAATAGACTGTTAGACGCGTAGAGTAGATGCACAAGTTGTCTTTAAGCAGATACGTACTAAAAATAATGTTCAAAAACACTATGATCGATGATTGTTTTGTTTATTTTTATTTTTTTTATCAGCTACCAGAGTCTGCCAAAATTAATTTTGTTTTCTACACTGAAATTCAATAGCAAGCTTGAGTCCTCCATATGTATTCACTGACCACACTGCTGTTTCATCTACTCCCTACTATTTTTCTAGTTTGGAGAAAACATTTTATATCACTGTCAGGTATAGCATGGTTAAAAACTACTTGCTCCTGGCAAAGCTGTCCACTTGTGTCTCAGCATTCTGTGAGCAATAAAACACACTAGCATAGATCCTATCTATAAAACATAGCAAGAGAGTCTTAGTTATGGGTATGCTATTTTAGTATTATTAACCCAAGCAAGTCGTATTTTCTGCACTATAGTGAGACAATTACAGCATAGTTTTAATGAGAATTATTTTGATTAATCAGTGTGATCAGTGCTTATAATACTGAAATTTCCTTCCAGTTTTCCTTCCAACAGAATTAATTTTGAAATTTGTTGTTGGTGTTGCAGATTCAGTTTTTCCCTTCCTATATCTGAATTTTGAAGCCTTATTGTGTTTTAGCACCACAAACCTCTGTGCAGAAATGAAGGCATACACACCTTTCAATCTGGTTAATTAAGACAGCTAATCTGAGGTACAGGTTTGCCAAGTAATAAAACTAATTAAGGTATTAATTACAGCATTAATTAAATGATATAATTGCCTTTCAAAACAACAACTACACAACTTCAGTAGTGCTGGTAAGCTAAGGGGTTAATTTACTATGGAAGAAACCATGCATTATTTACACATGCTGATGAATAATACATTTAAGAAGTTGGCTTATGAATTTCGCAACACAAAGCAAAAGTGAAGCAGTGAGCCAACACTGAGGCTGATTTGAATATATGTCTCAGATGAATATTGTTTGAGTTATGGTTGTGGCAGAACCAGAGACCCCCATTTCATTTCTGTGTCTGTGTAAAAAAACAGGCATATTGAAGCATTCCCTCTTAGAAAGAACCTATTAATATTAGCTGGTATTTTGAGACTATATATATATATATATATATATATATATATATATGTATGTATATATATATATATATATATATATATATATATATATATATATATATATATATATATATATATATATATATATATATATTGTGTGTGTGTGTGTGTGTGTGCGTGTGTGCATGATTGTAAAGAGAAGCACACTGGGTAGAAAAAATGCCACTGCCGCCCAGGAGCCCATGTGATGGCGCCACACTTTCAATTTTCCCCAGCCCAGGCATCTGAAAGGGGAAAAAAAATTACATCTCAGTCTGACGAGTGACTAATCAAGGAGCTCGAAATGGTGCTGCAATAAATTACTTCACTGTGAAATAAACCACACAAACAGACTGATGATAATAAATGTAAATTATTTCTCAGAAGAAATTTTCTCTGGTACATGAGTAATACTAACCATCAGGAAGGAGTCTTCCTTAACATTAATTACAGAAAATGACAAGTGAGCTGACAAGTAGGAAGGCTCATTATCTGTGAACATATTCACAACTTCGCAATTTGCTGCAAAGATGGACTCCAGCTAAATTAATCTCTTTTCTTTGCATGAGCCCCTTCTAATTTTCATGTTATTAACAGGTTTGCAGTATCAGTCAATGCTTGTCAGCCTAATCAGTTTTTTTTTTCCTCTCGTCGCTCATGTTCGCAAAAGACCAGAGTGGTTTTGAGAAGAATCTGGTCCCCATAATGTGTTCTCCATCATGTGTCCCGAGCCCCCCTACACCCCCCCGTCCCAACCCCAATTCTACAAGCTTGCTTTTAATAAGGTTCTTTAATCATTTCTTTTTGCTCAACTTTTAGCTCAGTTGGTTTTCATTATCACTGGTTTTAGTAACAAGAAGAACCATTAAAGCAAAAGGAGGTTTATCAAAGCGACATAGGGGGTTTTAAAGCAATGCAAATTGGTGAGCCAGGAAAATGTTGTCTAAAGCTCTTTTTGTGTTTGATTAAACTTAATGAGACAGAAAAAGAAATAAATTTAGGTAAAATGACAGTAAATTATATGCAAGTGGAAAATTGATTGGGCTGATTGGTATCACTTTTCTCTGCAAGTTGTTTAAATGTCTGCAGAGATTAATAACCATATTTAAGTCTGTAATATGCATGAATTATATTTATATGTTCATGTACAATTATGTGTGAAAGAAGTAATTCTACAAGCATAGCATTTTCATATTATATAATTGCAATATGAATAGAACAAACGTGTCATAAATTAGCCTGTGTACAGGATTTAATAAAATCAATTGCATGTCATTTCCATATTCAGATCACAACAAAAAGAACCACATATAATGTGGCCAAAGAGATAGAACTGAGAATTCAGCTTTTCAGCAATTTTATTCTCATGATGGGAAAAACAAAAATATTCCATGATCACAATTTTGTTTGGATGCATGTGGCTCCACCTAAAATGTTATGAAAGCTAAGGTTAGGTTTTGACACCTTGTAAAATAAATAAATAAATAAATAAATAAATAAATAAATAATAATAATAATAATAATAATGATAATAATAATAATAATAATAAATTAAGATTAGTCTAGTTATAACATTACTGGCTACCACTGATCACTGCAAAAACTGTTCCTTAGGTTAGGTTTTTAAGAGAGAAATATCATTATCAAAATTAAGTTTAATTATAAATATCCCATGCCACAGATAAAATATTTGTTCCTTTGTTTAAAACTTATTGTTGTTATGCAGATAACAAATTTCTCAGGAGTGTTCTGCCTATCTGTTATTCAGATATTTTGCATTAGGGGAAACCAACTCAGCTTTCAGAATTTAAGCAGGCATTGAATGCAGAGACACATTGTTTAATTAATATACTCATTCAGCTTTAGGTATCTATCTTCCTAACAATCAATTCTACTTTTCATCCTGTATAACTCTTCCATCCTCCATTTACTTGTGTGGGACCCTGAGACAATTGTAATTAGATGCGATGTTGTAAGTTTTGTTTTGCTGGAATTAATAAATCACAACGTGGTATGAGCTATATCCATGTCTGAAATGTAATACTCATGATGCCTGCATATCAAAGCCCCCTCAATGCACAGGTAGCCTCATGATAGCTGATGTAGAAACATAATATATCATAAAATTAGTTCAGAGAGAATAAGATTCAAGAGAGAATGAACATGGGTTTAAAAAAAGAAAGGAGGAAGGTGGTGCTGATAGTGGTGCTGATGGTGGAGACTTTATCAGCTCCCATTTCCCATCCTTTCCTTAATTATACTTCACAAATTGTGAGACAACAATAGTGATGTGTAACCTTTGGAGGATAGGTCTTTTAATGCAAAGTATACATTTTCATGTATGTCAGATTTTTTTTCTACTACTCCCCTATTTATTGATTTGCTAATTATAATAAAGCAAAACGAGATAAGTAATGGGCTTTTATGCTAATATATATATATATATATATATATATATATATATATATATATATATATATATATATATATATATATATGTGGAGAGAGAGAGAGAGAGAGTTTCATTTTGTAAACACTTGTTCAAATCATAAATATTTTCAGAAAGTAAGAATTTATATACATCTTAATTGATAACCATCAGCTTGCCACTAATTTTAGCTTTGACCTAGAAAGCCAGTTGTTGTTTAAGCTCTTCTTAATCCTGCTCAGAAACATGCCACAAAAGAAAGCAGGGATCTTTTGTAAGACACTGGTGATATCTGGTTATCATTTACCATGAGCCACTAAAGAGTGCAGTAAATCTGAACCATTTAAACTGGATTATACTTTTGATGTAGGGAGATGGTCATTAATACCCTGTCAATGATAACCTTGACAAATGCCATACACATTTTTCCTTTGCCCCTGCAATCTATTTAACTCTGATGAATCAAAAATATTTTCTGTATATATATTTTGCTCTCTATTTGGGATAGCTCTGAAATTGCATGTCTGTGCATTGCATAGCCTTTGCTTCTTGAGATTATGCATAATGGCATTTTTTTAAGAATTATATGGAACATATAGTGATAAATGGATGTTCTTCTTCTTCTTCTTCTTCTTCTTTCAGGTTGTTCCTGTTAGGGGTCGCCACAGCGGATCATTGGGCCACATATTTGATTTGGCACAGTTTTTATGCCTGATACCCTTCATGACACAACCCTCCTCAATTTTATCTGGGCAACTGGCACTGGAATTCCACTGTCTTGTGCAACCCCAGTGGCTGGGGTTGGTTCCCTGGCCAGGAATCAAACCCGGGCTGCTGCGGTGAGAGCGTTGAGGCCTAACCACTAGTCCTCCAGGGACTCCAAAATAGTGATAAGTGGATATTTTTCCAATATTAAGTGGAACATTATTAAGATCATGCCAGAATAGTTTTACATGCAGTACATCACTTAATACACCACTGACTCTGTGATTGTCAAAGCCATATAATCAAGCAATATCACACAAGCAATAGTGCGATTATACTGAATGCTGGCCAGGCTGTGATTCCACTGTAGACATGAGGCCGAAAGTCCAGGTGCCATAGGTAATCACAGCTGTGTATATTCAGTATAACTGCATGATTGCAGGTGTGATATTTCTTTTATGTGATATTTCTTTTCTTTCTCAACAGTTCTATAGAACAAGAAATTCATATTGAATAACTGAAATTTGGGATGCAGTATGGTCAAATATTTTGTTTATTTTTGCTCCACTGGAAATAGATCCCAAACAAGCTACACTCACTTTATAGCCCATCAGCTAGCTGGCTAGCTAGCTCACACTGATTTGTACATTCCTGTTAAAAGTACTTCTGGTGAAATTGGCTTCACTTCTTCCTTTTTATCTTCATCTGATGAGCTTTCATATTTTAAGTGAAAAGTTCATTCATATAAAATGTATCATTTGCCATGTCCAGTGATGACTTCTACTGTAGTAATGGTTTAGAACTATTGGAAGTGGAATTTTATGTGGTATTTATTTATACGCGTGGAGTGATACAAACAGTGAAACATCCTAGTGCAGTTATACTAAATATAAGCACTCTTGGAATGTGGTACATCCAATCAAATTAGTAGACCGGAACTAACTGTTGTATAATGATTTTTAGAGCAGTATTCAAGCTTACCAATTATTACAATCAGAATTTTAAACAACAGCATTCAAATAAATACTTTAAGATACATTAATATAGTCCAGTCTTCTATTAAGTCACATGTAGGTTTTTACACATATTACATGGTTCATCAATCATAAAAAAGTGTATATTATTATGTATCTCTACACATTCAGTGATTTTTTTTTTTTCTTGCTGCAAATAAAATTTGCAATTGACACAAATCAGCTATGGCAGCTGCTACAAAGGCTATTTAATTAAATGATAATTGTATTAAATTGTACTTTTCCTTCTGCATTACCAAGTGTGTGTGTGTGTGTGTGTGTGTGTGTAGTATTTAAGTACATTCAATATATAGGACTGTCCTAGCATTTTGTAGTGTAGATTCTTCTAGATTACAGTGGTGTCCGTTGTAGACCGGTAAGCCATATATCATAAATCTAGTCTTCTAGATTGTGATCAGCTATCAGCTCAAATTTTTGGAAACCAATGTATTTTCCTCATCTCCCTGTGTCTGTGGCTCTTTGTTAATCAGAAGAATAACTGTTCAGATGATTTTAATCAGATAAGTAACATCTATGATAGGATTTTCACTGAGAATCTGGGTTGGCTACCAAATTGATGATTAACAATATTTCAATATTATGATTGGACCAATGAAATGCAGCAGAGAACAATTTCATTGTTTCATTGATTTAGGACTTTTTGCTGGACCAAGGACCTTTTTTTCATGGGGTCCCTTCCTCATTTCAATACCAGTAACATTGGGGCTAATTGTCTATGCCCCATAGTGAGACAGCCTCCCCAGGAGTGACAAACACATCTATCCTGTGCTTCCTTAATTGCCTTCATAGATATCAGTCATGAAGGCGTGAAAGGGTACAAATATAGAGATCAATAGGACACCATGCAATCTCTGGCTCCATATGTTTCGTGTGGAAAAGCATAGGAACACTATAGCATGCTGAGCTGAATAAGAATGGAGATTAAAAAAAGGAAGGACAAAAGAATGGCACATTAAAATGAGTGTATGAAGGTTATTAATATACCACACGCCTCCATTACACCTCTCCCCTTCACTAGGCTGTCCATAGTAGTAGTGCAATATGCTTTTCTGTGTGACAAGTGGTTGCATTTTGGGGCATCTGTTGGTTGATTTTGTAATTGGGTATGAGTTTTTATGGGTACATGAATGTTATGCTGCATGGAGCTGTAGATTTCTAGTTCTAATGCAGTGCCCCTGAGTTCAACTTAAAAATCAATAATGTATTAAAACTAATTACTTATTACAATTATCGGGGACCATTTTAAGGAATGGAGGACAGGATATTTATGTAAAAAAACACTTTCTTTGTTTTCAAGCGTTTGCAAACAAGAAAAATAAATTGTACTTTCAACTAGAAATTGTGAAGCACATTTTCAATTCAATTCAATTTTATTTATAAAGCACTTTTAACAATGGGCATTGTCATAAAGCAGCTTTAAAAAATATGGATATAAATTAAAATTTAATTAAAATTTTAAATTGATCCTCATTGAGCAAGCCAGAGGCAAGGAAAAACTCCCTGAGACAACATGAGGAAGAAACCTCGAGAGGAACCAGATGCAAAAGGGAACCCATCCTCATCTGGGTGATTTCTCATCCATATATATATATATACACACACACACACACATATATATATATATATATATATATATATATATATATATATATATATATATATATATATATATATATACACACATATATATATATATATATATATATATATATATATATATATATATATATATGGGCAAGCCAGTGCATTTTGCATTTTCCTGATTGAATATTGAATATTGTATTTTCCTGATTTCACTAGCTGTATTTCTAATCGTGACAACATATAAGATATTCTTTGGCCAACTACTGACCACCATGAGTTTCTTCATACAAGATTAGTTGTTCTTCCATTGTTTTTTCCTGCATAATGACGAATATAGGAAAATCTGCATGAATAATGAGTGACTAATGATTAAAATATGTTCCACACTGTGTGAACATATCTTTTATATATGTATATAATTTTCATAGTAATATATGATAATATCACCGTTTCAGTCTGAGCTATGCATATTCCTGCACGTCTAAGGTAATGGATAAAAATCTGTAGATTTATTACAGCATATTTGAACTGACTGACAGGAATTACTGAGCGTATTTTGGCTTCTGCCCTTCCATGGTTGCCAGATCATGAATATATATTGTATTATCAAGATATGGTGACATTTTGAGCAAGCACATTTAACTCACCTACTCTTGGCAATTGCTATCCCTAAACATGGGATACTTTAGACATAATACAATATGCATTCTCAAGTTTAAAAGGGGAATGTTAGCAAAAACAGAAAAATGTCAAAACAGAGGTCACTGGAATATTTGTCCCAGACAGCTTCCTTTAAAGGAGCCTGTGTGCTTGCATAGGCTTGACCAGTTGGGTGCTGTCTCCTTGCTCATTACCCCATGCAATTGAAAGGGGTATACATGTTTAAAATTTAGTGGCAGCAGAAATGTCAGGCTTGGCACATGATGAAATTAAACAGCGCTGTCAGCACAAGTGAAACTGGAGCTTTCTAAGCTATTTCAGTTCATATTGAGTTCATATTGAGTTACTGTCACAATTTATTTTATAGTGCAGGTTTAGGCTGGCACATAAATGCCATGTGATGTATTTAAGGAAGCAAGCAGCAATGAAATTTGGTCCACAAATAACATATTACAGAAAATAATGAACCATATACATTAACATTGTATAATTAATACAATGACTTGCAGTATTAATAAAGATCATTTACAGTATGATGGTTCTGTCTGGAAATAATGTAGGTTAACCAAATTATAGTCATAGTTCAGACAATTTGAGGCCCTTCTGTGCTTTTATTTTCCTCCAATCCTAAACTAAACTCAAACATATTATAAATGAAAATGAAATACATAAAATTTACATTTTACTTGTGGTATGAAACATAAGCTTATATACAGTGTTTAAGAAAATTAGCATAATTAGGATGAAACATTCATTATTTTATTATTGTTATTATGATTCCTTAAATAACAATAACAACAACAACAACAACAACAATAATAATAATAATAATATAGTAGAATTATTCAGAGACCAGTATTGTAACTTAAAGACAGTGCCTTTATCTTTGTAATTTCATATTTTTTAAATAAAAAATTAAGTCTTCCAAGCATCTTTAAATGTGATTAGTGTTTTGTGTGTATGTTTGTGTGTGTGTTCAGAATAACTTTTTTTACAGAATAAAATAACACTGTGTGGGGAAAGCCTTTACAAGTTTGCTTATTTTAATCAGCTAGCCAGGAATCTTTAGGGACTTAATTAAAATACAGTTGTGGGTAGAACTGCATTAGTTAAGCAGACACTATCTTCACACCAGAACACATCTCTCCCTGGTATTTTTGATCTAGGGTGTATAGCTGTGTAATATTATAACATTATCTATTCAGATGTGCCTGCGTGCTCTGACACCACAGACTCTATTTTATTGCTTAAAAACATTCAACCTGGCATATATACCTACTGTATATATGTTTTTATTTTAATATATTAACAGTTCTGGCCAAATTTATTCATTGTCCAAGCTGCAAGTTCTTTCATGGAAATCGTGAATTTGGTTGTTCTGAAATATTAGATGGAGTTGACTATTTTATTTTCAAACCACATTCAATTAATTATATGTACATGCACTCCCATGTTACATATTATAAGATGTATGGCAAACAGGGGATACATGAAAATAAATAAATAGCTAAATAAAAGAAAAGAAAAAACAATAATAACAGTACTGTGAAATTATTTCTTCCCATCTGACTTAATTAAAACTGCAATGTTGCAAATGTTTGAATAGTGACAGGTTATTTTGAGAACGGTGAAGAAAAAACCTTCAGCCACAGGAAGAAAGCACAGGAGAGGGGGTATTTTATTATTCCAAGGTGAGAGGTTTAAAACAGCATTTTAAATGTTACCCCGCTGTTCAAGATCACGAAAACCTTTAATTTCATGCAAATGAACAGCACGAAGCATGGAACGTAATGTAAACGAATCCTTCTTTTGTACTTGTGTAGGGGTGGGGAAAGAGGGAGACAGAGTGAGAAGAGCAGGAAGGAAAAAAAAGAAAGGCAAGCCAGGAATAAAA